GGGGCCTTCAGTGGTCTCCATACATGCAGGCAATGGTCCAGTTCACAGAGTGAGAAGTTCCAGTGTAGTTGGGTGGCGGAGTGCTTAAGTCCTAATTTCCAGTACAAACTTTGAGCACCGCTTTAGCTTTGTCTGGTCTTAGAGCTACGCGCCGAACATCACAGGAGCCGCATCTTTTCTCTGAAGAGTCGCTTCATGGCAGTGTCGCTGAGGACTTGGATAAGGAGTTCAAAGTGAGGGGAATTTACAAGGAGAATTCTCCGGAGCCTTATATCAAAAAAGAAAAGGAAGAAAGATCAATTTTTAAACTTGAAACCCTTGTAAAAGGGGACAGCATTAGCAGCAAAATGTGTATTTTAAAGCCTTGTAGGTTTGGCTTTGAAAGGGAGGTAAACAGTTTTTGCTTTTATACATGGATGGAAAGTTTCAAGCAGTCTGACGGAGGGGTTTTTTTAAATTTCTATTTTGAGGCCTTTTTTACTCCGTGAAACGTGTTCTTTTGCAACCTGTCTGTAGAACACGCACATTCACATGTTCCTCCTGTCGGCTGCTGATCTGCAGCAATTGAAAGAGACTCAAAAGCAAAGCAGATCTTGGAAAATGCCATGCGATTGGTCATTGGCTGCCATCATCGACTGCTATTTGGGCTTTACCTATGGCTGATGGAAACTCCAATGTAATGGTGTTTAGTTTGCTAGTACTGTATTATGAATAATAAACAATTGCCTTTTTTAAGAAAAAATACTGTTTTAACTAGAAGTGCACCAAAATGAACATTTTAAAAACGAAACCGAAATGAAAGTTTTTTTCTTACAAATTTTTTCAAATATTTTATTTCTATTTATTTTCGATAATCTTTAAAAAATGTATTTATTTTTATTAAATATTTTTTACTTTTAGGGGCTTCGGGGAAATATTAGGGATCTAAACAGACCCCCGATATTTCTCTTTTTAAAATAGAAAAAGAGGTTGAGAACACAGAGTCCTCAATCTCTTTTTCTGCAGCCCTTGTTATATGAGCCTCTATACTGAGTGCTCCATACTGAGTGCTCCTGTTCATTTATAACATGAGGACATAGCGTGTTTACTATAACTACAATTATGAATGGGGGTGATGTAGATCACTTCCCAGTCATTAATAATTAAGGCTATAGTAAACATACTCTGTCCTCAATTATGTACAAACACTCAGCGATCACAGACTGCTTGTACTCGCTCTCCATCCTGACAGTTGCCACAGGAGGCTGAGCAAACGGTGCAGGAGGAGAGCTCGATCTAACAGCTGACTCCTCCCCCACACCGCCGCCCGGTCTCCTGTGACAGCGCTGGCTTCCTCCGTCCACACACTGCTTTGCCGATCTATGACAGGAAGGTGAGCGGTGTGGGAGGTGAGACGCCAGCCGCTCACAGCGCTCGGCTGCCTGTGACAGTTTCTCTCCTCACCGCTGGGACACAGAGCAGCGAATGCACCGCTATTTCAGCAGAAAAATGCCACCATTGGCATTTAGCCAAAAGTGCCATTTTCGTCCGATATATCGGTGCATCCCTAGTTTTACCCTTTCTTTTCACCCTTTGTTGCATCTTCTGCAGTCTTTTTGCAGCCACTTCCTGTCTATATGCACCCCATCAATGGCTGCATGGCATTTCTTAGGGCCCCATTAACACCTGAGCAGTTTGAAGTGCAACCATAAGACTTTCAGCTAGTTCTTGATGAACCAGCCGCTGTTCGCACACACCCTTCCGGCCAGCATCCCTTGATCAGCTGAATGAAGGAGCTGTTTGGAAAATCTTTGAACGAACTAAGCTGGCAGCTTCCGGCTCTGTTGGGTTGTTTTGACAGTGGCCGATGTCGGCTGTCGGAATACAGTGCGAACAGCTGGAGATTCCTCCATCACCGTTCGGAAGTGTCGATGGAGGAACCTGTAATATTTTCTTTGTTCAGCCTGGGGTTTGAACAAAGAAAATATTTACAGTAAATGGGCAGCTTTAGGCTGTTCACTTAAAGTAAAATCAGGTTCTTTTGTGGCAATGTTGCACATCTTGGCCCCGATGGACTTGAATGGGAGCACCTACAAAGCACATGTAACACACATTTGTCATATGCTTTCTTGCCTTCTAATGATCTTTCCATTGGCTAAAAATAATAATAAAAAAGCTCAAGCCTGAAATCCGCATAGAAATGCCCAAACACAAAACCCTGCACAATGACCAAAAAGGTTCAGCTCAAGTGTGAGTGAAGCCTTAAGCCAGATATACACGCTGTCGGCATCCCTCAATCAGCTGATCGAAGGAGCCGGTTGGAAAATTCTTGTCCGAACTGCTGCTAGCTGTGTTCGGGTATTCCGACAGCGGATAAAGGAAACAGCGGGGGATTCCTCGACCAATGCTCATAAGGCCTTGTTCACACCAAGCGCGTTCCAGGAGCAGGGCAGTTACAGACCGGATCAAAACTGCGTCCAATGTATTCCAATGGTATTTTTAGCTCCAGTTCACATTGCAGCGTTCAGTTCCAGAGCAGGAAAAAAAACAACAGGCCCTATTTTACCTGCTCTGGAACGCATGCAAACGCCCTGGAATGCACTGAGAGCCCATTTTAAACTAAAAAAATAAATAAATCATTTTATTAAATTTTTTAACAAAAACGACCCGGAACGCATCAAAAACGCGGCACAACCCACTGCACGTGCAGAAACTCAAAAGCATCAAAAACGCGGCACAACCCACTGCACGGGCAAACTGCATTTGGTGTGATCAAGGCCTTAGTGATGATGGGGATCTGTTGTTCTTCTTTTTTTTTTTTTTCGTTCAGGCTGCGGGTATACCCGCTTCATGCATGTGTAAATGTGTGTTGAAACAAACCATTGTAGTCTCCATTGAAAGCCCATGTGACAGAGTGACAACACCTAGGCCGAATTAGGAGACAGAGCACCGGATCATCTAGTTAAATATTACTTGCCGTGAAGGTCCGTGTTCTGGCATGTCTTCGCATAGGGTGACTGCAATCTGTCCGTGTCTCCCCATTGTGCTACTGTCTGCTCTAGCAACTGGAAAATCTTTCTATTATAAGAATGCCGCCATCTTTAGCATAAACTCATTATTACCCTCTTGAAGGTCAGAAATGGTGTGATAATAGCAGATTATGTTTGAAATTTGGAGCATTGTCCGCCCTTATTGATCTGTTTATGGACAGTCTAGAGGAAATTTTTAACATTGGTTGTTATGTTGAAGCATTTTTTCCAGACACGCTTTTTAATGTGTTAATAAGTGGCTCTTTTTAATCCAAATATGAAAGGGAAATCTATCGCCCAGCTAGATTGTTGTTTCTTTGTGTTACATTCCTTGCACACAGAAATGGGAGAATCTGATTGGTTACTTTGGGTAAGGTGCTTTCCTTTCAGAAAAACGTAATGCATTTCGAGGCCCAGCAAGTTTGATGTCACCTCCGAGTACAGAAAAGTTCAAGATCGGCTGAACTAGTTCTCGTGAATAACGGCTTTGCCCACTTGAAACATATAATGAATACCAATTGAAATGTGTATTCCCGCAAGTGTTTTCATAGCTGCTCGTAAACCTCACATAGAGCCGGCTTAATCCAGGCAAGGCCCAGGCCTAAGGATCCCATAATGAAAAATGCCCCATAAATACCGCGGCTAATCACGGGAAGTGGGCCACGTGGATTAATTTGGGTACAGCATTCGTCATAATTGAATCTCGGAGGGATGGGAGGCCTGATGGATGGCGAGCCTCTCCTTCCGCACTAAGAGACGAGCGCGTCATCGGAAAAGGCCACAGCCACTGTAAACGTGAAGGAAGCAATGCCATTAAGCTGCACGGCACCATAATGTGTTGTGTACATTCCCTCGGCTGCAAAGTTAATCAGTTGACTGGATTTAGTGCGCCTCATTTCCTTTAATAGCTGCGAGTTTGCTGATCCATCTCTTGCTTATCCGACTTTTTTTTTTTTCTAAATCTTAGCTACTTGGCTTTAAAAGGGAAACTTGTCAGGATAGTTTTATTTTTTTCTGTCTCAATTCAGACTGCCATTGCTCAACTCTTTGAATGAGTATTGGTTCGAGGGCTCAGCGCACCTTTACAGCATCTCATGCAAAGAAGTGCTTTGGAACTAGCACGGTTACTGAGAGTCGGTCAGTGGTATGCTTTCTACAGGCAAAAAACAGTCCAGTTCCCAAATTTCTAGTTGCCCAGTGTTGCCTTCTGAGTCCTCCATTGCCCAACGCCAGTCCTCTCCAAGTTGATTGACGCCCCGCGAGTGTGAGTCAGGGCTATCAGTGATACACCCCCCTGAGGGTGTTTGACCTCACAATGGCACACTGCATGTTATAACATGTGAGCATTGATGTATGTAGCAGGGGACCATGCACCATTAATGATAAAGAGGGATCCCGGCTCATTACATGACCACGTTGAAGGCTGCAGTTGAGGTAATTCAGGTATGTATTCTGGGAATTGTTTTAAAAAAATGCATGCGAGTGTGGGAGCGCTGTGGGAAATCGGAGTTGTGCTTTAAGAATTAAGTAATCTTTACTTCCATTATATTATTATTATTATTATACAGGATTTATATAGCGCCAACAGTTTGTGCAGCGCTTTACAATATAAGGAAGACATTACAGTTACAATACAATACAAGATGTTAACGAGGGCCCTGCCCCTGGGGGCTTACAATCTGAAATTATATGCCTCATAATGTCTCATTATGCCTCATAATGTCTGAAATGGGAACAGCTGCCCATGGTGGCCAGTCAACGAATAAGTTTTAATTTCTAAGCAGCCCCTGTACAGGCAGCACAATGGACGCCATGCCTCCACTGTATGCAAGGTTGAGTGTGAGTGGATGGGGTCTAGTCTCCCGAATGCTCTTAAAGCCTGTGGAATGGTATCTGTATGTATAAAGGATGAGCACACTTTATAAGTCGATTTAGCTCCTGCTTATATTTAAGTTGTCCATGGTGAACTGCCACTTCTGTCTTCTCTCACAGGGAACAATAAGTGTCGGCATTGACGCTACAGAGCTGTTCGATCGCTACGATGAAGAATTCGAGGACTTACCAGGAAGCAGCTTTCCCCATATTGAAATAAACCGTATGCACATCTCTCAGTCTATTGAGGTATTACACAGATAATCTCTCTCCGTGCTAAAATATTTTTGAATGTGCAAGGCAAAGCCGCATTGAGTGTCGTTCAATTTGTATTTAGCATTGGCTCATCTTTATTAATGGAGAGCTGCAATCTAATGGCGAAGCAGCATGTTGTTTTATATATCGAGGAGATGCTGAAATCATTGAATGTGACCAATTAGCACGTTTTAGTTCCCTTCAAATAGGAGAGTAGGTGATGATCAGCAAAGTACATGGCACCCTAATATATGTATCTGGCTGAGATGGTATCAATATATTGGTTCATCTCCTGTCTTTCTTGTTAGGTGGTAGATGAATTTAAAGTGAGCCTGATGCATTTGTGAGAAAACTCTAAAAGATGTCCCCATTCCCCTTTTAGGCTTTTGCTTGAGAGAATGACAGCTTCCACCTGAGGCTTTGTACACTGGTTTATTACTTTGAGATAATTGCCTTTAAAAGAGAACTATGGTGTAAGTGTTTTTCCCCATAGTTCTGTTTTGGGTCACGGGAGGACATATACTAACCTCCTCCCGTGACCCAAAGCTCAGTATATAGCGAGCTATTGCCCGCTATATACGGAGAGCGCCGCAGCCGGGACGGATCTCGACAATACTCTCGGGATCCACCTAGCTGCGTGACAGCTGGCTCTGCCTATCTAGAGGCAGATCCAGCTGTGTCCGCCCCTTCCCTATTCGTTTCCCCACTCAGCGCTGGAGGATCGAAGAGGGGAGGGGGAATCCCTGCGTGGAGCGGTGACTGACATTCACACAAAATGAATCCTAGATCTTGATTCAATTGTTTGCGTCATCATCGCAATTTGTCATAGAACGCCAACATTTTAGAGTCATTGTTCTATGGCACTATGTCTCCCTGAAGAAGGGACCCTGCGTGCCCCCGAAATGTTGGCGATCTATGACAACTTGAGTAAATTGAAGATCTAGGATTCATTTCATGTTTGCTGGTTATGATCAGATCTTCACTTTAGTGCACACTTTGTTCAACACTGGCAAGCCCTAATAAAGGGGGCCTTTTTGAACCCCTAAAATGCGTTGTATTTTTATGGCATAAGAGTCCTTCTTGCACACCTAGTCCCTACTTGAGCAAAGAACCAACCTCTTTGAACCCCTGAAATGCGTTGGATTTTTATAGTCTTTTAATAGTCTGTTCAACAGTAGCAAGCCCGGATAAAGCGGGACGCTTCAAACCCCAATAACATGTAAGATTTTAAGACATAAAATGAAATTTGGACATTCTGCTTTTGGCACTTTCCTCCATGCGCACCCAGTCCTTATGTGAGCAAGGAACCCACCTTCGGCCACCACTCCTGGGTGAGGTGCCCAAGGAGGATCATTCCCCCTACACTACTTAAAGGAGAACTATGAGGTGAGTGAAAATCACTCACCCTCATAGTTCGAGCCGACGTGTGACAATGAAACTGTCACACGTCAGCTCAATAGATCGGGAAGTGAGCGAACACATACCGTCACTCGCTCACTTCCCGATCATCTCCCTGCAGAGAGCGGTGAACGTCAGTCACGGCTCCCCGCTGGGATTCCCTACATCCCCGCTCCGATCCTCCAGCGCTGATTGGAGGAATGGACGGGGTAGGGAGCCGGTACAGCTGGCTCTGCCTCCTAGATAGGCAGAGCCAGCTGTCAATCACGCAGCTTGGCGGAGCTCGACAGTAATGTCGGGCTACATCCAGGCTGCGGCGGTCTCAGCTCGCGAGATACTGAGCTTTGGGTCACGGGAGGACGCTAGTATATGTCCTCCTGTGACCCTTAAGAGAACTATGGGGAGAAACACTGACCCTATAGTTCTCCTTTAAGGCCTGGCTGCGAACATTGGATCCAGTAGCTTGCATTTTTCTTGTACCTTCAGCAATATAAACTCGACAGGGGTTCTAACCCTTCCCAACTCTATTCAAAATGTAAAAAAAAAAAAGTTTGTGGTATTTTTAAATGAAATCAAATCTAATAGAATGTTGATCGGTAAATATATGTCATTTTTGTTCCCTCCCAGGCTCCCCTCACAGCGACAGACACTGCCATCCTTTCCGGGAGCCTCTCCACGCAAAACGGCAACGGCGGCGGATCAATAAACTTCGCTCTGAGACGAGTGACCTCGGCCAAGGGATGGGGAGAGGTAAGCACCGTGAAGATATAACCGCAGTGATCGCCCGACCGAGAAACCGTTAGCTAAGCAAAATAACACACACATGCCGAACATTACAGGTATAAATTGCAAAACAGGACGACGAGGTAGTTTGCAAACTGGTGTTTATGTAATTACGGCTGTCAACCATCCTGTCAGACACCAAAGGTTTTCTACATCGCTGGCTGCCTGTGAAGGACAACACTAATGGGAATCCTGTGCCGCGCGCTGGGCTCCCCCTCTCACGTTGCGCGGCAGCCTGTGCCCGCGTGGGTGATTAAGGGGTATCAATTATTACCAAGGTCCCCAAGGCTACTAGTTAGTGTCTTCTAAATATGCTGAACTTGCTCGAGAGAAATTGTCTCATCGAGGAAAAGGAATCCATAAAAGCAAAGGGCTCAAAATGGCCGCCCCCCCCAGCTTTGTCAGCGTTTGCCTTACAGTTCTTGAACAGCTTGTATACATCAAGGGTGGGCGCTGCGGTTTCTGGTTATGGAACTACGAGTCCCAGAATGCCCTGCCAGTTTGCTGTACTTACACACGATCAATATTCTTCTTTTTCAAGTTTTTTTATATTCATTTGAACACTTTAAAGCAGGGGTGGGAAACTCTGGCCCTCCAGCTGTGCTTTACCTACAAATCCCAGTGTGCCTCTGCCTCTGGGAGTCATGCCTGAAACTCAGTCTTGCAATGCCTCATGGGACATGTAGTTCCACAACAGTTGGAGGGCCGGCATTACCAACCCCTGCCTTAAAGCCAAGTTCCAAGCTCAGCCTCCCTGCAGCTGGGGTGGGAGATTTATGCTTTAATTCGGTTTACTTACCTATTTAAAAAGTCTCTAGACTGGTCATCTAACCTCACACCAGGGGCCCTTCAGCTGTGGTGAAACTGCAAATCCCATCATGCCTATGCCTCTGGGAGTCTTGCCTGTGGCTGTCAGTCTTGCAGTGTCTAATGGGATTTGTAATTGCACCCCAGCTGGAGGGCCAGAGTTTGCCTACCCCTGTCCTACAAAGCCCTTTTCTTCTTTACCTCCACTCCGGCATTGCCCAGTACAGAGAGTGGTGCTGACCTGATGCATCATCTACAGACGACAAGGATTTTAACCTTTTCATTTTCTGTTGTGGCTTTACATACACTTTAATATTATCTAAATACAAGAGTCATGTGTATTCTTCCTTGAATCTTGGTGAGGTTTGTGTATTTCGTCCAGATCTGTGCGGTAATCCAGTGTGAAATCTGGAGCTTCCTGTACTAAAGACCGGTCACTGCTGTTTTTCTCCTTGTGCAGAGTGACTGGTCTTGTCTCCGCCCCCTCCTGTAATAAAGACCGCTCACTGATGCTCTCTCTCCGCCACCCCCCCCCTGTAATAAAGACCAGTCATTGCTGCTCTCTCTCCTTGTGCAGGGTGACGGATCTTGTCTCTGCCCCCTCCTGTAGTAAGCGGGGTCTGCTGGGTCCCTCCCACAGCTCTGCTCTCTGCACAGGCTATGTGCAGCACCATGATGATGTCACTGCTACTTATAAAGTAGTATCTGGGTTTGCACAGGCATTTGGTTCACACAAAGTGGATTTATATTCTATGTGGCCATTGAGGAATATATTTAGATGGAAGTTTTTGTGTCGAGTTCAGCTCGGGTTGAATCAGTCGCAGCAACAGGTTCGCTTTCTGTATCAACAAGGGCCGGAGGAAGCATAACCTGTCACCTGTCTTGCATTATAACGTCTCCATTATCCGGAATTGAAGACTCCTCATTTCCATTGTCGATTTCCTCCTTTTAATGCTTCAGGTATAAACTGTGGTTTCCCGAGAATGCACTCGCAGCTAATTACGCAGACTGGCTGTAGCCAAAGGCGAATCCGCATAAAATATTCCCTATCATAGTCATTTAAAAAATCCTTCTGTGTCCTCAACGGAGAGAGATCTCACTTAGGATTCTAAAAAAAAAAGAAATAAGACGCGCCCGGGTTCGGTTTACCGCCGCTGGAGCCTTTCGCCGGCCTTGTCTAAATTTTATCAGGAAAATAAATACTGCATCTTTAACCAGCGGCGGCGGGGTAGTGCTGAGACTGGAAAATGTCAGATTAACATTGAGAAGCCGCTATGAAAGTCACCCGCTCTCGGAAAAACGAGACCATAGACTCGCTTCTCTCTCTCTCTCTCTCCCCTTCACTCTCTCTTTCTCTCTCCAACTTCAAAGGCGGCTCTCATGCATAACTGCTGACATGACTTAACATGAGACTCTGGAGAGCAGTCCCGGCCACCTGTGAGACCTGAGAAACAGCCGAGTGTAACCAAATGGAAATGCAAAAAAGCAGCAATCCATCCGAAAGGCCCTTAATTAGATTCCGAGAGGAGAGTCGGTTATCAGACAGCGCGGTCTCCTCCGGAGAGACCTCTCTTGTTTTATTCCCGAGTCCCGAGCCCGGAGGAGAGGAGTAGAGGTACTTCTGCCAGCTGCAGAGATGAGATTGAATCAGATAGACCGGTTATAATTTAAGGGTTGAATGGGGCAGCGGCCCCGAGCCAAGATGTCTCATTTCGCATTTGAAAACAAGCAGAAGTTTAACGTTCATTGCCTTATTGGCCGGGGTGAGGCACCTCCGGGATCTGTAGGGGAACTGGAGAGGTCACCCTCGGATCTTCAGGCACCGGCCTTATTGCAGGGGAGGTAACGTGCATGAGAAGCCAGATGGAGCCCACCTCATTTCCTGGCTGAAGGATCTCCAGCTTCATCTAGGCCAGGGGTGGGCATACTCTGGCCCTCCAGCTGGGGTGCAACTGCAAATCCCATGAGGCATTGCAAGACTCTGATAGCCACAGACATGACTCCCGGAAGCAGATGCATGAAGGGATCCGTAGTTTCACCACAGCTGAAGGGACGGATTTTGCCCACCCCTGATCTATCCCATTTCTCTCCAGCCCGACTGTCCCTGGCCCATCCTGTTCATTCGCTGGATTTCAGCTGCTTGAATTAAGGCTCAGCATCACATGAGTGTGTCATATGCCAGTCTGCATGCAAATACAACTTGCACTCCTCCACACTCACTAGATATTATATACATTTGCATAACCCCTCCCACGAGCCAGCTCACTGGGCTGAGGGCTCTTGAGAGGAGTACTGGGCCTTGGTGCTGCAATGTTTTTCAGAGGCTATGTACAGCACTCTGTACCCTTTGAATTATGGAGGCTCAGCATCACATGGGGGGGTTACCTAGTCCTGCAGCACCCTGTTCCCTTAGAGTTATGGAGGCTCAGCATCACATGTGGGCATTACCTAGGCCTGCAACACTCTGTACCCTTTGAATTATGGAGGCTCAGCATCACATGTGGCCATTGCCTAGGCTGGTCTGCATACAAATACAGCCTCCTCTCCTCCAGGCTGACTAACACACATCAAGATAGTTAAATATATTTGCATAACCCCATTCCACAAGCCAACTCACTGCTTGCATCAGGACTGAGGACTCTTGAGTAGGAGTGCTGGGTGCTCTGATGTTTTTAAGAAGCTATGTACAGCACCCTGCCGGCCCCTCCCACCAGCCATCATCTGCCTGCATTGCATTACAAAAGTACAAAGATCCAGTGATGATGTCATAAGGTATGTATTGTTAGGTTTCACTGTTATCTAGCTCTCTGTTGAATGGCAGCCGGGCTGCTGGTATTTTTAAGTGCAAGTCCTGCCAAACTTTTTTTCTTCTTTTGGATAGAGTGGGGAAGGATTAGAACCCCTTTCAGGTTTTAATTGCCATACAAGACTCCATTATTGCCATGGTGACAACAGTTTCACCGGACAGGAAGTGAGGGAAAATCTGCTACATGGACACAGGAATAAAATCCGGCAGGGATGCACTGATGCCTATATTTCGGTATCAAGTACGAGTGCGATATATTTTTTTCGGTACTCGCCGATACAGAGTACCGGAAGTTCCATTCAGGAAGCCAGGCGGTGTGTAATGACTCGCCACCTGGCTTTCCAATTAGCAGGGAAGCCATGCCCATGCTTCTCGTTACTAGGTGACAAGAATGCATGGAGCCGGCTTTCTAAACAGAACACTATGCCCACAATTACCCAATGTTGATCCAGAGGAGGGCAAAAAAACCCCTATAAAGCACGGTTCAATTTGCTCCAGCAGGGGAAAAAATTATTTCCTGATCCCATAGGGCAATCGGATATTCCCTGGATCAACAATCTCTGATGCTTAATATACCTCTAAGAACTCAATATCCAGTAATATTCTGTGCATTTAGGAATACATCCAGATGTTTTTTAAAACAATTAACCGAGCTAGCTAGAACAAGTTCCTGGGGGAGTCTATTCCACATTGTCACAGCTCTAACTGTGAAGAATCCTTTCCGTATGCAAAGGTTAAACCTCTTTTCCTCCAGACGCAAAGAGTGCCCCCTTGTCCTTTGCAGTGACCTTAAAGTGAATAATTTGGCACCAAGTTCTTTATATGGACATGTATTTATGTATTTATACATGGTGATCATGTCCCCCCTTAATCGCCTCTTCTCCAGAGAGAACCAATTCAGGTCAGCTAATCGTTCCTCATAGCTGAGCTCCTTCATGCTTCTTATGAGTTTGGTCGCCCTTCGCTGCACTTTCTCCAGTTCCACAACATCCTTTTTGTGACCTGGTGCCCAAAACTGAACTGCATATTCCAGATGAGGTCTTACTAATGCTTGGTACAGGGGCAGGATGATGTCTCTGTCTCTGGAGTCTATACCCCTCTTAATACAAGAAAGTATTTTGCTTGCTTTAGAAACTGCAGCTTGACATTGCATGCTATTATTCAGTCTATGATCTACCCAGAACCCAGATCGCTTCCTGTGGTGTCTCTGAGGCAGGAAGCAAGGGGAAGAAGGTGACGCGGAGGTTTTACTCCAATACAATACTCAATCAAAAAGAAAGTTTTGCATCTTTGGATACTCTATAATGTAAATCCTATTATCAGTGCGTATTAAAGAGCAATGCCAGAGAGTGAAACCAAGACGGGCCGCTAATACATATTAAGTGTAAATATAAAGTTGAGGTATCTTCCGGAGAATTTATAGACCTATTTATGAAGAGTGTTTATGGCCGTTTCACTTATTCTTTATTCTTTTTATAGTATCTTTTTATAGTATACACCGCACCGTACATCACGTAATAAAGGGCTGCAAATGAATAACTCGAAACAATCGTATAATATTTATTGTCCTTTATTTATAAGACGCCAATATATTATGCAGAGCTTATATAATGAAGACTTTCAGATTAGACATCGGACAAAACAAGAACAAAAAAAGGGACCTGTTACCTCCAGGTGTATGCAGTAAGGTACACTATATGGCAGGGGTAGGTAAATGCTGGCCCTCCGGCTGTTGTGGAACTACAAATCCCATGAGGCTTTGCAAGACTCCCAGGCATGACTCCCAGAGCCAGTTGCATGTTGGGTTTTGTAGTTTTCACCAGAGCTGGAGGGCTGTAGTTGGCAGAGGTAAGCAAATTCCAGCCTTCCAGCTGTGGCGAAAACTACAAAACCCAACATGCAAATGCCTCATGGGATTTGTAGTTCCACAGCAGCTTTAGTGCTGGGGTTTGGGTACCTCTGTTATATAGTATCTGGACACCTGACCATCATATCTGTATGAGTTTGGTGGCCTTCCCATTCCAATAAAATTGGGCACGTAGCCTTTACTAACCATTATTACCATGCAAAGACATTTTGCACTTTCAGTCTGGTGCCCCTGTATACAAAGCCAGCTCCATGGCTCTGACCAGTTTGCTGTGGAGGAACTTGAGTGGTCTGCATAGAGCCCTCACCTCAACCTAACTGAACACCTTTGGAATGCCCATTGTGAGCAAGGTCTTCTCGTCCAAACTTCAGTGCCTGGCTCACAAAGGCACTTTTGGCTGAGCGGGCACAATTTCCCTTAAGACATTCTCCAAAAACTTGTGGAAAGTCTTTTTAGAAGATTGGAGGGTGTTGAAGCTGCAAAGGAGGGCCATTCCATAATAATGCCCATGGTTTCTGGAATGGGATGTCCAGTGAGCTCATATAGGTGTGATGGTCAGGTGCCCACAAACCATCGGCCACATTGTGCACATTATCTCATTAAAATTGCATATTAATGGGCTAGTTCACCCTTTAAACCACTGCGCATGCATGGTTAGGCAAGTCGAGGGCTCTACATGAGGGGCTGAGGCCCGGCATCAACGAAGAGCTGGAGCCCATGCTAGCAGCAGTAAAAAAAAAAAAACAGAGGCCAGTATAACTTGCAATGTAAGCTGAAATGTATATGGATTAAAAAGATATCAGGGCCAGTGCTCAGGGGTCCAGCTGATTCTGCAGGAAGCCAAAACTTTTGAGCATCAAGGAGCAGCATTCTTTGTAAGTAGGGATGCACCGATACCGTTATTTCGGTATCGAGTACGAGTACCGATATAATTTTTTCAGTTCTCGTCGATGCCAAATACTGAGTACTGGAAGTCCCATTCAGGAAGCCAGGCAGCGTATCATGACTCGCCACCTGGCTTCCTGATTAGCTGGGAAGCCGGGCGGAGTGTAAAGACTTGCCACCCGGCTTCCCAATTAGAAGGGAAGCCATCCCCATGCTTCTCGTCACTATGTGACGAGAGAGCATGGAGCCGTGGGAAGCCGGCTCCATGCTCTCTCGTCATGAGGTGACGAGGGAGCATGGAGCCGGCTTCGCGGCCAGTCAGGAAGCCGGGCAGCGTGTCATTACAGGTATCGGGCTAGGCACCGGAGCATTTGGGCGAGTACGAGTTCTCGCCCAAATACTCGGCATCGGCACCGATACTAGTATCGGTATCGGTGCATCCCTAATTGCAAGCCATGGAATCAGCAGTTGATGGAGCTTAAAAACCTTTAATATCACTTTAAATTGCCATAAATTATGCATTAGAACAAAAAGGACCAAATAAGAGAAGGAAGGTCACTGGCCCTTTAAAGAGGAAGACACTCTATCTGGCCCTACTTTCTACTTTGCGAGAACTCCTGTTGTGCAAAAGAATAAAATCCGACTATGAATTCTAAATTTGTCCGAGACGCATTATGAAGGCCGCGTTTTTTTTTTTTTCCTGTGTGTTGCTCCCAGCAGCGGTTGGCTTATGTATATTTTGTTGAGGCTATTCAAATAAGGATGCAAACAAAGCAAAGACACTTTGTGTTTCCTGTGCTGGGTTAATAGATGTGCATATTTCAGCATATGATGTCGTTTATCATGTACATAATTCATCTGTTTATTTGTGTCAGTGTGCTGCTTTGCAATAAGTGACTCCAACTGCATTGAAACTCCTACACCACGGCGACTGGTAAAGGGAATGTTTTAGTGGGTTTTTTACATAATGTCTTTATTATGGTCAAGATGAAAACATAAAATGTAAAAAAAAAATATATATTATTTATTTTCTTAGTCCAGTTCCCCCCCCCCCCCACATTTATATTTTCCATTTTCTCTTTAACATCTGTTGAAAAAAGCTCGCTCAATATGTCCAGAATTTCATATTTACTGCAGGAAAAAGTACGAATATTTATTTTTAACTCCTTTTTTTTCATCCAGCCTGTAAAAAAAGAAATTATGTATTTGTATATCCAGCCAGCAGGTGGAGCTGTTGCCTCACATTCATGTTTTCCAGTTTCTCACTGCCGCCTATTAAATAATGACTGGTGGGCCGAAGTTTGACTACCCCATGGCTGAGACCAAAGCTTCTTGTATTGTAAACATAAATGCATAAATATTTGTTATGTGGATTATATTTTTGCTTTTTTTTTTTAGTTGGAATTTGGAGCTGGAGACCTTCAGGGACCTCTCTTTGGATTAAAGTTTTTTCGGAATCTAACTCCAAAATGGTAATATCTATAGGACTGTTTATCACAGTTGCAATATACATAGCCTTTAAGAGGTGTATTGGCAGTCTATGAAAATACTGCATATGTACTGTGACATTCTTTTGCACAATAAATGGTCTCCACATCAGCACAGAGTTTGTGCTTCGGGTTAGATGTACATAACGCCATTAGTCTTTACCTCCAATAGTGACTTGGATTAATGGAGTCAAATTAGTGAAAATGTACTTGGGTGTTTTAGGATTCATGGGTTGCTCCTGGACTCCTGGGTTGCTCCTGGACTCCTGGGTTGCTCCTTAGTCTGCAAGTTTTATTGCCATTTTTCATATTCCTGCACCAGTTTCAAGGTATACCCTCCAGAATGACTTCTAATAGGTCCGTGAAGGTTTTCATTTATTCAGGACATGGTTTAGCTCAGGGATGGGCAACACCGGCCCTCAAGCTGCTTTAACTACAAATTCCAACATGCCTCTGGGAGTCATGCCTGTAACTGTCAGTCTTGCAATGCCTCATGGGACTTTTAGTTCCACAACAGCTGGAGGGCCGGAGTTGTCCGCCCCTGGATTAGCTAGGTCATATTTAGAGGGCTGAGATGTGACTGCTACATCATATTATATATCTGTACTAGATCATAACCTGGATAAATGAAAACCTTCCCAGATACTACTGCCATGGATAAGCAGACTACTACTCCCACCCACCTTGTGTGACCTACCTCACATTGTCTCTAGATAGTAGGAGCTTTGTGGGTTTGTCACGTCATTAGAGACTGCAAAGAGTCTATTTTTGATTAGGCAGACCCAGTTTATATCTGCAAACCTGAAAAGGACCAGAGTTCCCCTTTAACACATAACACCGCTATAGCCTCTGGTCTCTATTTCTATGCTCAATGACGCAGTCAGCTGAGCTAAACTGCAGCTTTAAAACCTATGAGGGTCATTTGAGTGAAGAAGTAAGGCCTCCTCTTCACAGCTGAAATAAGATACACTAGATTAACTTTTTTTAAGGTAGCTCGCATTTGCATGAGATAATTTATTCCCCAATCCAAATAAGCCGATGACCCCATAAACAGTGCCAATGTTGCAGTCTGTTATTTAGGTCGCTGTTTGTTTAACATCAGCATTATTGGAGCTGAATATACTCGTCTCCTGCAGCGACCTATGTAGGACACCACCGTCACACAGATCTGCCTGATTCCCATGCAGTACCCCCGTGCTGCCAGAAGAGGGCCTGCGTCTTCTGGAATTGATTTCCTAATTTGATCACAGCACTCATCCGCCCTAACAAGTCTTCATGTTAAAAAGAAAAAAAAAATTGTGTATTGGGAAAGGGGGGTGAATTCTGTTAAAGTAGATGTAAAACCTAATGAAAGAAGAACTCCAGGCAATAAAATCTCATCCCTTGCAGTGGGGCTACCCCTGCATTGCAAGGGTTAAGTGTTTGTTTTGTTTAAGCTGAACCGCAATCCCTGCTGGTTCCTAGACCGGTCCCTGCAACCTGTTTCCAGCTCCGCTTGAGCGATTTAAAGTCCCTCGTTGTTCTCATGTCCTATACACTGTATAGGACATGATGACTCACAGGATCTTAGACTGCTGAAGCGGAGGGGGAGCGAGGGTGAAGAAACCCATCTAGGAGCCAGCCGGGTTGGTCTCTCGGGTGAGTATAACTCTGTTATTTTATCTCCCTAGACACAACAAGCAGAGTGGTAGCCCCATTGCAAGGATTCAGATTTTATTTGCTGCAAGACTGCTAAGTGCCTCTACGCCTACTTTGAATTTTTATGAATATTTTTGTGGATGAGCACCTGGGCATTAAACTTACAAATAGAATGCGGTGGCTACCCCGGGTGCTATCTATACACATTTTGTCCCTGAATTTGATGTGTTGGAGCATAAAATATGGGCAAGCTTAAAGGAGAACTATGGGGTCAGTGCTTTTCCCCATAGTTCTCCTAAGGGTCACGGGAGAACACAAACTAGCGTCCTCCCGTGACCCAAAGCTCAGTATATAGAGAGCTATGGGTCACGGGAGGGCTGTTTTGGCAGCAAAATGGGGAACTACTCAATATTAGGTGGGTACTGAAACAGACCATTGCAGTAAACCACATACGAAGTGGGG